CCCCCCCCCCCCCATGATAAAATATACATTACTCACCGAGAATTTTTAAATATAGAGCTTCTATTTTCGCGCGATGTCCAGCATATGATTCAGGATTATTATCAAAGTCATTTAATATCTCTTTACACACTTCTAATATCTTCAACATATCAGCCTGAATCTTTTCTCTACTCTGTTCAGCTAATTCTGCTCTTTCATGCATAACTACAATTTCAATTAGATTTTCATTAAGTTTTTCAGTCAGGTCTCTAATTTTCTTTTGCAAAGCCTGATTCTTCTCTTGAAGTTCTTGATGCTCTAATGGACAGGAGATCCTAATTTCTTGATCTACCAAAGCAAGTCTCAATTCTTGTACGAGCTTGTTCAATTTGTTTATTTCTAATAATTTTGGATCTTGATTGATTATTGGTTTATTCTTTATTTTCCTAGCTCTATCTGCATACCTCAATGTACTAAGAGTTTCATCTAAGTTATAATCTGCTGGACTCACACACGCTATCATGAGAGTCATGGAATTACCACCGAGAGAATCTTGCAACAACCTCGTGAGTTTACTATCCCGATAACTAACGTAAGACGTACAACCTCCCTCTCCTAATTGAGAAATAACATTTCCCAATGCTAATAAACCTTTATTTATATTAACACCTTCTTTAAATCGTTCTCCTGTTGCTTGGGTTTTTTTACTTCTCTCAGATCCAGCTAAATCCACTAAATGAAATTTAGCTGTTGTTGCTGTATTAGGGTCATCTTGCTTCTGTTGATATATACATATCGTAAATATAGCATGACTACGGCTGCTTTGAGCATTCATAGCCGTAGCACCAGTCACACGACCTTGGGATCCTTGAGTTAAGCATTGTAATGCTTCCGATGCATTTTCAACCTCTTTTTCTACAACCCCAGAAACTTTAACGTTTTTACCATCATCTCTGATGTCAACAATAGATTCATTCCTTTGTTTGTCAGCCAAGAGATCATACAACTGCTCTTGGTAAAGTTCCATGAACGAGACTACAACCTTAAAGTTCCAATCGTTTTTTAATTGAATTATCTCAAATATATCATGCAGTGCTCTTGGTATTACACCTGTGTCTTCTGTTTCAATATAATTTGTACCCATCGAATGAGTTTTACCACTTCCTGTTTGGCCATAAGCTAATATAGTTACATTATATCCTATAAGATAGCACATAATTATTTTACATAATCTCATATACCTAAATAAATAAATATACACTGGAAATACTCATGTAATTTTACCTTTAAAAATATTTTCCACCATTCCTTTGATAGCTGTTTCATAAAAGTCTTCCTGATTAACATCAGGAGGGAAGACATAATTAAACGTAAAGCTTTTATCTGTGTTACGTACTACTATTTGTTGTTCTCCAGGAACAACATCTAAGCATGCTTGACATCCTTTGTCTATTTCATTCTTTACTAAAGGTCGGATACGTACAGCAACACGAACAGTATCTTCACTCATCTGTAAACATTGTTAAAGTCTCTTAATTATGATGTACACATTTGCACCTATTAAAATTAAATCAATTTCACAAATCCTTCCACTTTTCATTTATGTTTGATAAAATTACCTTAACAGAACGTCAAAATATTAACTTAAAAAAGGATTAAGGGTTAAAACCATTTGAACGAAGAGCAGCCTTAGTTTTTGAACCTTTTAGGTACCTGTTTTTTTCAAGTCGTTATTTCTGCGAATACTGTTCATTGTACGGTGCTGCAGTTCAAGAAAACAATACTGGATAGAAAATATGAAGATAATGTGTCCTCTTACCTTGAATTTGTTAGATTAACTGGGGGTTTGTATCAGTTTGTTTGACCAATTCAACGGTTTCTCAACGATAAGGCGGCTTCTTCGTTTCTTGTTTCTTCGATTCGAATTCAAACGTTCGACGCCAGCCAAACGTGTGTGTGAGCGCGAGAAGAGTGAGATCGCAAACGCGGTAGAATGAAACAGAAGATCCACTGATGTGATGCTTTCTTGCTCATTCGCTGTGTTCCCTCCTTGTCTTTAATTGCAGAGGCAGCACTGCCTTGTCTCAGCAATGAATCGTCAGCCAATCAGAGCAAAGCAATTTCTATACCAATACTCGCTAACTAATCGAGTTATGGTCTGCAGGCGCGCCGGAAAAGAATCTTGTATGAACTGCAATCGAATCTGTCGATCTTAGAGATCGACGATCGAATCAAAGACTATCGAGACATCACTTATCGATCACAAACACTTTTGAAATTGTTTGTATGTGTTTTCTCTATTAAAATTTAAAAAGCGAACAAATTATTGTGTTCACAGAACATTTAATCTTTAAAACTCAAATGAATATTAGTTCAGTTTTACTGGTTACCCCACATATGTCTTGCATATATGTATATCTGTGACCATACCTATAATTACTATAATCTATTTAATTAATTTGATTGAAATAACATGACCACGGGAATAACAAAGTAATGTTATTTAATATTTCACATTTTTTGACACGTTTGGTTAAATAATAATGTAGAATTAGACACGCGAATAAAACGTGGAAAATAATAAATGCATGAAGTGCAACAAGTTTCGTTCCATAGCCTGACAAGCTGTACCCGCATCAACCTGCTTTGTGATAAAATTGAGTGTATCGATTGACAAGTTCGTTTGATAATATTTCAAAATATCATCCCTTACTGACAATAATGTCCTCGGAAATAATTTTGGGATTACGCTTAGACCCACAAACATTAACTACGATTAAGTTAAACAATATTAATTTCAAGAGCAAAGTCAAATATCTGAAATCTGAGATAGCTAGAAGAGTTAACCTAACAAAAGACTTGTTTGGTAAGATGACATTTGAGTTTTCGCTCTTTGTGTTTTGTTAAGACATTTCCATTATTTGAACGCAATGCTTGAAGTTTTTAATATAGAATGTACAGTGCTTAAAATTAAATTGTCGTGATTTTAGTTCTAAAGGAAATGGATTTTATAATATAATAGCATATAAATTTTATTCTACTTTCCTTGCTAGAATTGATTTACTGTGGGAGTATTCTCGAAGATGAAGTTACGCTAGAAACATATGGATTGAAAAATGGTTCTATGATACATGTGTTGAAAAAAGAAGAACCAGAAACCCCAACAATACCTAAATATATTTCAGAAGATAACATTTTACAACTTGCATCTGCATTCAAATCATTTAAAGAGAATCCTGCACTTAGGAGTGCTTTACATGTAATTATCATATTTACATGATACTATATAATAGCATAGTCTTATAATATACAAAACATATAACCATGTGTCCACTAATTGCAGAGATTAGGTAAAAGACCAGAAGTCATAGCCAACATTATTTCGTCTTCTCCCGGTTTACACGAGGATGCTGTAGCAATTGCCATTTTCCAAGATCCTGACCTAATGGCACACTTTGTAGATGTAGATACAGTTCGAAGGTAGCTTTTATTTTATTTATTTACATGTATTATAATTATTTGAAATTAATATATTAATTGTACGTATAGATTTGCAGAAGCACACCCAGTTTTAGTGGAAGCAGCACAAAATATAGCTGCAGCTGTTCACGAAGAGGCACACAACAATGCAGCTGCTGCATCCAACAATTCTGGATCCAACACACAACCTACTGCTTATTCTTACAACATGGATAATTTGAGCGACGACGAAGAAATGGCAGGAGATTCCTCACAGTCTTCGGACTCTACACAACCATCAAATCTGTCCAATAATCCATCGAATAATAGAAGAATAACTGCTGCACAGCTTGCAGCAGCAGTTTCTAGAGCAAGAACTAGAAGTTTCCCACTCTCCAACTCTCCTTCTTCTACTTCCGGTGAAAGTACAAATTCTGGAGTAATAACTACTGAAATGTTCAGTCAGGCCATGCAACAGGCTGCCATAGCAACCACAGGTTTAATCGCCGATCCTATATTGCCACCGATGTTACCACCTGTGCTGACACAGTTCACAGATTTGCAACGACAGTTAGCTCAGATGCACGAAATAGGATTGCAAGACGATACAATAAATATGCAGGCATTGCAATTCACACATGGCGACGTTCTAGCTGCCATTGAGTTAGTGTTCAATGGTTTCAGTAATAATTAAATCGATCACACTACCATTTTTTTATCGTATTATAAAACGATTACGATTGTACAGTTTAATGATTTATTTTTATAAATTAATGTAACTCTGCTGTGGGATGAAAATCGTTAAGAAATTCCCGATTTCGGATATTCTTCAGTTCTAAAAACTCTGTTTAAGACTCGTTTCGTACAGTGATCCGTGCAAGTAACTCTTTAAATTGAAAGGTTCATTAAAGACTGCCGATATACGTTTCATAACATTACAGATTACTCATGTTCCGTAAAAATTGTTGATGTATATATCTAAATCACGGTCAAATAAAGGTACAACGATTAGCAAAGAATCTTTGTATATTTCTGTAAAATGAGACGGTCGTTCGCCAAAATTTGTAGACAAAGACGATAGAATAGTGTGCATCGCATTTTAAAATTCCCTTTAAAATATAAATGCACACGAACATTGCGAAGTATACTGTAATAAGTATAGCTTTAATTCAACGATATGTATTATAATATACACACGTGTAATGATAAATTGTCCAATATACATGTACAATAATAAACTGTCCAATATACATGTATATAATAATAAACTGTCCAATATACATGTACGATCATAAATCGTCCAATATACATGTATGATCATAAATTGTCTATTATTCCACGGTCAGAACAATATTTCATCGTTTCGTAGCGCTAATTCCGGCAGTAAGAAAATTTATTTTAAACATAAAAAGCTAAGAGTTAATCAAGTGCTCTGTCACCGAAGTCTTTAAGCTAGTCTCGTTCTTTTAACCGTAAACAAAATAATTCCAATGACAGACGCTTGATCTATTCGCTGGAACGCCTTTTGCCGTAGAAGTATCAGCAACATTTTCAAAGACTTTTGTCCGGAAAGGGTTGATGGATTTGATTGCGGAGCCTCGCCTCGTCGGTGGGGCCGTCGCTGCGAAAAAGTGTGTGTGTGTGTGTGTGTGTATGTGCGCGCGCGCGCGACGCTGGTCGCATGTGTGACCGATGCAGACGTTGCATACCATTGCAGGGACGCCGGTGTCCGTGTGAGCACCGATGAAACAGTGTGTGCGCGCAGTCTCGCGCGCCACGCTATAGTAAACGGGAACCGTGCGCGACGTTCCGTTAGTAGGAGTCGGGATTTGGCGAGCGTCGGACGCGTCGAGGAGTGCGCCGAGTCTCTGTTGTCGCACGAGCCCGTATGACAGAAGTCGCACGTGCTTGCTTGAACGCATAAGCAGTGCGCATCGGGGTCCGAGCGAATTCTCGATTGGTGCGAGAAAGGCTGTTAACGTGTTTTCTTTTCTAATCGCGCGATCGTGGACGCGAGCCAGAAGACAATAAACCCGGCTTCGGTTCGCTTCGGAACCGGCATGCTGTTCCCGTAACGTGTTTTTTGGAAAAGCTCCGCATGTCCCAGGCACGCTGGTCGAACGCCGCGGACAGATGTGAACGCGAACAACATAAGGAGACGTGAATATTCATGGCGTGAAGGTTATGGGGAAATCGGATACATGACAGAGAGAGCCTGTTCCATCCGAGAGGAACCCTTAAACGTTGCCTGGGAGAGGAAGGTAAGGAAAAAGCCGGTATTATGTACCCCGTTTGTGATTCGGAACGCAGCGATTCTTCGTCGAGGATTCGTGTATTAAAATCAACGTACCGGTCTCTTCCCCTTCGCACGGGGATAATGCAACGAAACGTTAGACCGTATTTGGTGCGGAGCCCGGCGCCTGGGGCGAGCCGGCTGCGTTATTTCAACAGGCATAGTTATCTTTTCCGAAAAGCTGTGCTTCTTTTTTCTCTCGCACACGTCCCGCAGCTTCCAAGCTCCTTGGACAGATGACAGTTGATTCGAACGCATTCGCCGCGGAATTCATTTGCAGGCTTGTTCTACTTAATGCGTGCCGTGTTTTTAACTGCCACGTTTAACCTGTCAACCGGGCGATTTGCTGGTCACGAGTCTTTCGATTTATACAGTCGCATGAGCGATCGCAATTTCGAATGGTAGAATTCAAGAGTTTCCAGGTGGACAAATGGGAATTAAAACTTAGCTTGCGAAACCAATTCGCAGGAGTACGAATTCCTTAAAAATATTTTACTTGCTATGTTGTTCGAAAAGTAATATCGGACAATATTTCTGAAAGAAAATACGTTATTTCTGTTTCATAAGTTGAGGTTTAAAAGATTACTGCAGCGCGAGAGGACGAGACAGGCTGAGGGAGGGTGAGAGTTGCGAAGATTATGGAGGCAATTAAAAAATGTTACCCCCGATGCCGTAAGAGTTATAAAAATATGAAATAAATTATTAAATTCTACGTATTCGAGGACAGTTTTATTTAACGTTGCTATGACGTGCAGAACGACGTGAAAGGTAACAAGAACAACCATAGAACTATTTTGAATATTTAAAATTTATGTGAAATGCTTATATTGTTTATTGCTTATTTGTTACTGTACCGTTGATTGCAACCTGATTCCAGTTACGCTGAACGATGCAAAACGTAACGAGTTCGACGCAACGGCGTTTTAGCTTCGGCAGATTGTTTAGAAGCGCGAGGAAATAGAAATCGCAATGTTTAAAAACGAAGGGGTTGCGCACCCCTCTGGCACACGTAGATGCGCCTCGACGTGTCGGTCGCGTTGTAGATCCCTTTAAGAGCAGCCTCCATATGAAACAGCATCGCTAAGGGTGCAAACGATGGGAAACGCTATTTAAACTACCGTGAATTATCAAGGAATTACCGCGGCGATAAAAACATTGTGGCACCGCGGTTATCCGGAAGCGTGCAATAAAACTGTTTGAAGAGAGCCACGGAACGGCTGAATAATATTTGCGATTCGCTGTTAGAATTGTGCATTCATCGAAGCCAAGATAACAAGGAAGTTGCCTCTGGAATGACTGTGTCTGTTGCAATTTGGCCGGTCCTTGTTTACACGGGACGCGAAACGAAAAACAAAGGAAACGGGGCGTCGGACGAAATTGCGTAATTCCGGCCGAGCCTAAAATTAAACATTTCTTTTCTTCGTTCATCGAAAAATCGAACAAGCGTATTTTTTGCTTGAATGGATTCGCGGGAGGTTCGCCGGAAAAATGAATTCCCCCCGAGTCATCCTGTTCCGCGTTCGGAGCGCGGTGTTCCACAGGCCACGAGAAACTTAAGGCGTGCATTAGTATGGATTTTCGTGTTGCAATTGCGTACGAGGAAGATTGCGTAGGAGACGCGGCCACCGTTCCGTTAAAGGAACGCCATTTTTCACGGCGTTATGAGAAACGATTAATTTAATAACTAGATCATCCGTGCATTAATGCCGACGTGAAACAGTAATTATGTGTGGAGTGTTGTAAACAAGGGTAATTTCATAATTGACAGGCCTACGCGGCAGTTGTTAACTAATTGTAACTCGAGAACCAAGGGCATCGGGCGCCGATCTTCGCCGACCCGAACCGGTTACCACGGGAGTATTAGGGGATGTAACGACGCAAGAAGACCTCCTTCGAACTTGCCGGCCGTTAAATTTGTAAACACATGCCAACAACGGAAACCGAATGATCTTCGCAGTAGTTTGTCCTATTGATTATACACGGTGGAATCGTTCCAGACACAACAGCAACGCGCCTGCTGGCTTCTCGTAACTCGTGCACGGTCTCCGCGCATTGTCGCGTACACCGGCGTTCAGGAATGCCGCATCCTTCTCCGTCAGGACTTTTATTCCTCGTCGAGAACTGTTTCATTATTCCGACCATCACTATTGTCATTAGTTACAGTCGAGTACCCTTCTGGAATATTATCAAAATGTACCTCGAGGAACGTATTCGCTACGTTAAGATGCTTTCTATCTTATATCTGATACGTTAAGATGCTTCGAAGGGTTCAACGGATACATTTTAAGGAGGATTGTAACAACGATGACAAAACGATTGCTATCTTTTCGCCTAAACTGTGTAGATCCGCTCGAGTGGATTCTGTTAATTGTTAAACAGAGTACAGACGTATCGAAAATCTCCGCATTCGAATGAAATATTTCACAAACATTTCGAGCAGTTCATGTTTACTCGGTGTTGTAATTGCATTCCCATTACCATTCGAGCATTAGTCAGATGTAATCAGCGTTAGTCATCGACAGACACTTCTAATTACGGTTTAGCTAGGAACAGTTACGAAAAAAGGTTCCGGCGCCGTCTTTCATCTCGGACCTCGCCGCGTCTTCGACCCCAGAAATGAACCCCTAACGTTCGAACCACGACCATTGTTGCAGGCAGATCCGGCCCGAGATTAGAGCGAACAAATCCATGAGATCTCGGTGGAAGATCCATCGAGCCATTTTGTGAAAGACCTCCGGGGACAGCTGAGTTTCCCGATCGCGGACCAAAGACCGCCGCCGCCGCCTGGTCTCGCGAGCTAACCGCTGAAGCGAGGGACGCGAGCAGCTGTTTTTCCACAGAGGACCAAAGGAAACGAGACAATAAAGAGGATGGCCCACGAGAACGGCATAAACGGGGACACCGATTCCGAAACGGTCGAACTGAATCCGTTGAGGAGGACCAGGTTTCACGTGAACCGCGTCGACAGCCTCGAAGGCCGTGCCAGCCTTCTGGGCGAACAAGAGACCAGAAAGTCCCTCAGGCACATGACCAGGGAGGCCCTGCCGAGGCTGGACAATTACAGGAACATCATGAGCATCCAGGCTGCGCACAGACCTTCCTTGGACGAGCTCCACAATCCCACTCTGCTTAACAAGGTAAGGATGATGATGATACTTGACCATTAATAGGACCACCGGTTCTTTGTTTTACAACGCGCCAGCGGTTGGACTCATTACGGAGCCACGATGTGTAACCGTATGTGCTTAGCATTCTTTCCAGCCCGCTGCTCCTCGCGTACGTGATCGCGCGTGCCTGTTTTTCTGCGGTTTTAGGGTCATTTTAATCATCCGCGCGACAATCTCGCGCGACGAATATTCGACGCTTGAATCGTCGATAGGAACCTTTCTTTTTCTCTTCTATTTTCGAATTCTTTGCTTTTTCTTCAGCTGCAGAAATTTTTACATTGCCTCGCAGTTTTAGTTTTCTCCGTTTCTCAAAGTGTTTCTTTTTTTTCGTTCTTTTCTTTCAGGTATTTGCAGTTTAGCAGATATATTTCGGAATACAGTGAATTCTTCATAATTGTTCATCGGCTTGTTAACGAAAATGGACGATTTCGGAAGAGGAGGTACGGATTATTCGAGACTCGCGGTTCGTTTTTATAGTCGCCGGTTGTCGAAAATTATTTATTAAATCGTCCGTTCTTGTCTGCAAGCTGAAGGAAAATTAGGGAGAATTTACTGTACTTCGAAATCGTATATTTACCATTCTTTGCTATCTCTTAACGGCTACAAAATTTGTTTACCGCGAATTCGCAGATTTTTTAACTTCGAAATGCTTTTACTATTACTGTATTACTATATTATTAGTTACTATACTACTATATATACTACTATATACTATATTATTACTATATTACTATATATCTGTCTCTTATACACATCTAGATGTGTATAAGAGACAGGCGAAGTATACTGTAATAAGTCTGTCTCTTATACACATCTAGATGTGTATAAGAGACAGGCGAAGTATACTGTAATAAGTCTGTCTCTTATACACATCTAGATGTGTATAAGAGACAGGCGAAGTATACTGTAATAAGTCTGTCTCTTATACACATCTAGATGTGTATAAGAGACAGGCGAAGTATACTGTAATAAGTCTGTCTCTTATACACATCTAGATGTGTATAAGAGACAGGCGAAGTATACTGTAATAAGTCTGTCTCTTATACACATCTAGATGTGTATAAGAGACAGGCGAAGTATACTGTAATAAGTCTGTCTCTTATACACATCTAGATGTGTATAAGAGACAGGCGAAGTATACTGTAATAAGTCTGTCTCTTATACACATCTAGATGTGTATAAGAGACAGGCGAAGTATACTGTAATAAGTCTGTCTCTTATACACATCTAGATGTGTATAAGAGACAGGCGAAGTATACTGTAATAAGTCTGTCTCTTATACACATCTAGATGTGTATAAGAGACAGGCGAAGTATACTGTAATAAGTCTGTCTCTTATACACATCTAGATGTGTATAAGAGACAGGCGAAGTATACTGTAATAAGTCTGTCTCTTATACACATCTAGATGTGTATAAGAGACAGGCGAAGTATACTGTAATAAGTCTGTCTCTTATACACATCTAGATGTGTATAAGAGACAGGCGAAGTATACTGTAATAAGTCTGTCTCTTATACACATCTAGATGTGTATAAGAGACAGGCGAAGTATACTGTAATAAGTCTGTCTCTTATACACATCTAGATGTGTATAAGAGACAGGCGAAGTATACTGTAATAAGTCTGTCTCTTATACACATCTAGATGTGTATAAGAGACAGGCGAAGTATACTGTAATAAGTCTGTCTCTTATACACATCTAGATGTGTATAAGAGACAGGCGAAGTATACTGTAATAAGTCTGTCTCTTATACACATCTAGATGTGTATAAGAGACAGGCGAAGTATACTGTAATAAGTCTGTCTCTTATACACATCTAGATGTGTATAAGAGACAGGCGAAGTATACTGTAATAAGTCTGTCTCTTATACACATCTAGATGTGTATAAGAGACAGGCGAAGTATACTGTAATAAGTCTGTCTCTTATACACATCTAGATGTGTATAAGAGACAGGCGAAGTATACTGTAATAAGTCTGTCTCTTATACACATCTAGATGTGTATAAGAGACAGGCGAAGTATACTGTAATAAGTCTGTCTCTTATACACATCTAGATGTGTATAAGAGACAGCTATATTATTACTATATTACTATATATACTATATTATTACTATATTACTATATTATATACTTTTACTATTTTTTGCAAATATCAACAGCTCGGCGAATGATTGCGAACGAACATTCAGATTTAATTAAAAATCGAACCGTTCTTGGGAAAGTGGGGAACATTCGTTAACGCGATCGATTAAATATCCGTTCCGCGAATCGCCGTTAGAAAATGATCGCTAATGGCAACAGGGGACGTTTAATTCCGTTACATTGCACCGCACAAGTGGTCTTCCGAAATTGTTGCCCGGTCGCACTGCTTCTGTTTAGCAACGGTTAATCCGCGCCAATTGAAGAAGCCTGCGACACAACCCTCTTCATCTTGACCCGGCCGCAGTGACCAATGTACGCGTGACGATTTAATCGGGCAGGATTTTTGCGAAAGACCGACCGATGCCTGTCCAGCTTCGAACGTAAGCCTTCGTAAACCGATTGATAGACCGAAATACGATATGTCCGGCGGAACGGTTGCACCGTGATGACTTAAATCCATCAAACAGATTACCCTCAACGCGTTGCCAATAAGTAATTCAACCATAATGAATTCTGGATAACGACCGATCTAATCGCCGTTTTCTGCGAACGATGCAGCTGTTTATCGAGACGGTGTTATTTAATGCAGTAAATTCTCCTCTAATTGACGCTTGGATTGTACAAAAAAAAAAATGGACAATTTGAGAAGAGTTTTATTTCTTATAGTTGTTGAAATGCAGACATTTCAACGTTGCCTCGCAGTTTTAGTTTTCTCTATTTCAAAATGCTTTTATTCGTCTCTTTCAGTTGTCTGCAGTTTAAAAGATAGATAGATAGAAATAAATAAATAAATAGATAGAAATAATAGAAATAAATAGATAGAAAGATAGATATTTCATAATTTTCCTTCAGCTTGTAAACAAAATCGAATAATTTCACATATTATTTACAAATTAGATGCTGTTCACGCTTTCTATTAATCCTAGATAATCTGAAGATCAGGCGGCTGTCGTCGGGAAGGGTATTAACCCCTTGACATACCATTTTCTTCGCAGTTCCTGCGATTAGAAACTTTTCGATTGCAATAATTTCTTCGAAAGTGAAGAAAATCGATGCTTAACATCGGTGCCTAAATTTACTCGAATGCTTAAACATTGATGACAAGTGATTAGAAATTTGTTCCAATTTTAAAGAACAGAATAACATTTATACTCAATAATTAACTAACAATAAACTAGAAGTACGACAAGGGGTTAATACCTTTCTAAAAATTTACTTTTATAAATTTCGTCACATATTTAAAAGAAACCTCTTTGAAACCTTAAACACCCTCGTTACATACTTGCTATCAAAACATTATCGTCGAAAATATTAAATTGCAATTATTAAACATTAAATTGTATCTATCGACCAGAATATCCGAAAATTATTTAATATTCGAGGATCGTAGTTTTTAATCAGAGTTCGCCAAGAGAAGATACTTCGCCAAGAGAAGGCACTTCGTGCAATAAATTGGACGAAATCAAAATATAGGTATGCTGCTCGGTTTCTTAGTATTTCTAGTCGCCAAGCAGACTGATCTAATGAACTCCGCAGCTGTTTTATATTAAAATTTGCAAGTACCCTACCTGGGAATTACAGTGTTCTGCGCGACGTATGACGACATTGATTTTATTCTGTCCAGAAGCGTTAACAGCGTACAAAGGTCGTCTGAGACCTCTCAGGCTTCTGGTGTAGCAGAGTGGTACAATGTCGCTCGCTGCTGCAAAGTCTTTGATTTTTAATTAGCCGAAAGGATTCCTGGGAACGGCAGGCGACGAACAAAGTCGCTGTTTCCATGTCCCAAGCGTCGCATAAATTATCACACCCGGCGATCTCTCGAAGATCTCTTTCGCGTAAATAGCTTGTCGAAGTGCTCTCGAAATCGCTCATAGCAAATCGTAGGAAACATGGAACGGCGAATATTATTATCTGTTCCGCCGGGTTAAACTGGAAACCCCCACGTCCCGTAGCACAATTAAACCATCACTTGATGTGGTTACAAATGCCAGAGGACTGTCTCATCTCTGCCGAGAATATTTATTCATGAAATTCAGATCTTTGTGTGAGTACGGTTGTATTCAATGCGAGCCGTGAATTACGAATTACGCCGGTAATTCCGATTCCTCGAACAGCCTGGCATGTATTATATTCCGTTCGGTATATTCTTTATTAGTTCGTGGATATCTTTCGTCAGTTCATTCATTCGGCATTCATTCCACGTCGACGAGAATGCGAACGAGCTAATGAACGAACATTAGTGAACTATCGAGAGAGATAATTAGAGACGCGGATATATATATATATAGTATAGTATAGTAAAGTATATATATATACTTTCGAAATATCGGCAACGTCATCGTCGTCGTGCAACCTCGTAGAATTAGTGTCGCGACCATGCTACTCTTGACCTCCGGTCTCGGTCAAGGTTCCACGATTACGCCCATCGCGAAAATTTGTGATTCAGAACCGAAAAACAATGTATATTGTATTGCAAATGAATTGTGTAACGAAGGGCTCGGAATTGGTGTAAGTCTTCGAGCATGGAAAATTTAGAGAATTAGGTTTACAGTGCTAGCATTGAACGCATATTTACAACTTACATTGAAAGCATATAAAAACAGGATATTCAACGTAGAAATAAAATATTGCTTTACCAGCCGATGGTGTTGAGAATAAAGAGTTTTTTGGGGGGTTTGAACTGATTGGCTCTTGAGCCCTGGGAATGATTAACAATATATACATTCGTGGAATATTAATTGGAACGAATACGTGTCCGTAGAATTTGCGATTAAAATGAAACAAGCGAGGCGAATGAAAATTGGATCGTTCTGAGGTTACAGCATCCTGAAAATCGAAATGATCTCGAGGCAATTAACAGTAGGTTTACAGCTATTTTATATTGCTTTGTAGGAGTATATATATGTATCTTTTTGTTTTCTTTTTAACACTATGTTTACGGAACGCGTTGGAATTTCAAATTCTTTGACTCGCGATCACTGAGATTGCAAAAATAGATTTATGGACAATTTATTTATAGTTTCATTATATTATGAAGGAAATCGCTGAAACTCTAAATAAATAAATAAGTAGATATATAGAGAGTTTCAGCGATTTTTTTCATAATATGATGGAACTATAAATATAATATAAAATATAGAAATATAGAAATATAAATATATAAAATATAGAAATATAAAATATGATAATATAAATATAAAATATGATAATATAGATATATAAAATATAAAAATATAAATATAAAATCATAGATCTATCTTCGCAATTTCAGCGATCGCGACTTAAAAAATAGTAAAGTCAGTGTTAAAAATTGAACTAACGACGAATACGTAACAGCATCGAAAATATCACAGTGAAGGAGTTCGCACACTTTATGGTCCTTTACGGTGCCAAATATCTGCAGGATCGTCGCAGAGGCTGCGTGTCTCTCTTGAAATTTCGGTTTCGACCGCCGATTGAAATATCAGTCGCGAATCCGAATAGTGCGGCATGTACGGCTTAACGAGAGTGCCAATGGGACCAGTAAAACGCGTGCTCCGAATACATTACGGGCCGAGGGATAAGCGTTTTGTTATTATTTGACTATTATACCGCGTTATTCTGCGAACGTGTTGGTACCTTACACGATCACGTACGACACCGCGTGAGAAGCGCGCTTCTTCTCGCGTCGTTCTTTTCTTCGATGCAACGCGCTCGTAATTCGCTTACCCGTTCCTATATACAGGGTGTGAAAAAAGCAACGGCCGCGTCCTCGTGCCCCGGAGTCGCCGTAAAATGAAATTTTACAGAATGAATAGAATCAAAATTATTCGTAGCAATCGCCGAAGGGACGAAGAGAGAAAGCGGGCGTTCGAAAAGCAATCGTTCCGCGAGGAAACGCGAAAAATGTTGTCTCGTGCTTGTGTAAATTGCGTCGGTCGCGCCTTCCTTCCTCATTTCAGTGCAAAATTGTACAAGCAATTGCCGTTGATGCCACGGGCAATCATCTGTCGCGCATGCAACCGTTGATGCACATCCCAATTCTCCTCTGTTTACGTTCAACGCGTCGCGCGGGCACGCTCGCGATCTCCGCGACGCTCCATTTAAAACGCGAATCTCTCGAACGCGATCGCTTCAGAATTCCAGCGTTTTTTCTGTTCTCTCGCGAACATAGCAAAGTCTCGTTCGACTTTATTATCCGAGCAGGCCGTGCTCGCACAGAAGTCCGGCAAGCAGCCCTGTCGTTCAGTAAACGCGCCAGGTGCATCGGCCTAAACGTACCTGAAAATCTACCTGAAAATCTACCTGAAAATCTACCTGAAAATCTACCTGAAAATCTACCTGAACCGCCTAACTTTTCACAAGAAAGCGCGCTCGCCGATCGAGGGTTTCCCTTCGGAGCCGCGTGTTCTTTTGTGAAAAGCTCCGCTCCGTCGTCGGAGAGCGAGGGTCGAGCGACGCGCACCGATATTCGAAACCAGTTCCTTCTGGTTCTGAAGCACTGCGAAACGATCTACGAACGACAGAATTCCCAAGATCGTCGTCCGTCGAATCGCGAATCACGCGCGAACATCGTTTCCGTCCGCGGAGTAGCGAAAACTCGGCCGGCGCTTCGAAAACTTCTGCGAGAATGCCAATTCCGGCTCGGCGAACGTTCTCATCGAATCGATAACCGCGATATCGAGAGCAGATTTCCGCGACGATCGGCTCCAATTTAGCGGAAGAACGCGCGCGTTTTATGTTCCCTCGAGCGGTGTCGGTAACGCCGCGCGGTGTCAATTATTTCGTGTAACACAATACGGAACGCGATACTCGGCGAGCCGACAGTGATTTCTGCGAGCCGAGTTCCTTTGCAATCGGAAACGCGAATTTTCCGAAGTTCGCGGGAAGCCGAAACGTTTCTCTTTCAGAGGCGTCGGACGGGCACGAGACGGTCTTTTCGCGGAAGGTGAGCCTCCGCCGCCGCCGCTCGAATCCGCTCCGCGCAGCCATAAGAATAATTTCGCAATTATGCTTGGAGACCAAGCCGCGATATTCGAGGATAGAGCGGGATATAATGGGATGAAATAATCGTCTCTCTAAGAGCTATAAAAGCCGAGAGCCGCGCGTCGAGGAGGCTCGGTTACCCTTGAACCAGCTTAATCGTCGTCCCGCCGGACTTTTCTTTTCGCCTCTGTTCGAGAATGCGATCGCGAATCAAGCCGCGCCGCCGGCTCGTTGATCGACGAGCAGGGGCCAACCTTGGGAATATCTGAATTTCGCGCGAACGGTCCCCGCACCCCTAATCGTGACTTCACCATGACATCCTGGTGCGATCCAATTATACTTTGCCTCGTTCCTACGGCTTCCGGAAACGTTTGTTTGCCGAAGATACATGTATGCGTATTTAGGAAGGCTAAATCCGAAGTTGCTAATATTACCCTTCGCGTCGCGATCGCTTCTTTCGTCGGCCGGCTCGATCTTTCACAGTATTTTCGTGGAACCGAGATATGATCGAAATATGGTCGTTCGTCTCTCGTACCGAACGTTCATCTAGTTCGCTCGTTTCAACGGCGTGTGCTTCGTTATCTCGAGTTAATTGTTCTTTTTTTTTTTTAGTGTTAATATAATTTGTACAAGGCGCGACGACGAGACAGAGGATCCTTAGGGTTTTTGTCCTGTCGGCAGATCGACGGGAGGTCCTCCGGCATCGTCGAAGTCGAATTTCTAAAAAGTGTCTCAACATTGGGCGACGTGTAATGCACGGCATGCGAGGCATTGTTACGTAAATCGTTAGTCTTCATTGGTCGACTGGCGACCCTTCCTCTAGACGAATCACCTTCAATGCCGATAACCACCTCTAAATCTCAATTTACGCGTAACGCTCGTGTACAGAGATCCGTGGATCTCTCGACACAACTCCTACAATTTAATTCTATAAATACTTTGTACGCCCGTAGTAACGCGGGCAAACACGACGGGGCCCATTCATGATCGCGCGCGATCAGAGCTACGCTTGGCCACCGCGATTGCATATCTGGAACAATCGCTTAGTTTACACTCGAATGAATCTAGATTAGGACTGTTAACCCTTCGCGGCGCAAATTAGTCTTCGACTAACTCTGGACCTTCGCTCGTAATGATCCCGAAGTTTCGGGCCAAGCACGAAGCCGGAGATGTTCGCGCGTTTCTAGATGATAAATGCTGGCTGAGAACAACGGCATAATTTCGCAGAATCTCGGCTTACGTTTTAAGAATACGGTAAATTCTTGCTAATTAGCGGTCAGATTGCGTACAGAAATGGATAGTTTGGGGAGAGGAGACACGATTATTCGAGCCTCGCGGCTCTTTTTTTATAGTTGTTGACGATCGGTAACTATAAAAGCTGTAATACTGATGCTAAGATAATAAATAAGTGCTAAAATAAATAAGTAAGTAGTAATACTGAAAACTATAATATTATATTTATAGTTATTCGATTTGCGACTGTGGCTATTAATTACTGTGACTGTAGATAACTATAAATTACTGTACCATATTTATAGTTGTTTAATTTACGACTATAACTATTAATTACTGTAACTATAAATAAGTATAAATAACATATTTATATGTATATCTTTTTACTATAATTATTTATAGTCGCAAATTGTCTATTTTTGAGAACAATCTGAGCACGAATTAGGGAGAAATTACTGTATTATATTTATAATTATTCAATTTGCAACTATAGCTATTAATTACTGTAACTGTAATAATTATAAATTACTGTATTATATTTATAGTTATTCAATATACGACTATATCTATTTACAATCGCAAATCGTCCATTTTCATGCACAATCTGAGCGCGAACGACGGAGAATTTACCGCATAAATTCTTCTAAACCGAGCAACGAAGATCGTTTCAAATCAATTAGTGCATCGAGCCGATGAGAAACCGACGATCGATTGTCGCACTGTACGCGTTCATTGACGAATCTGTTAACAGAGACGATTTTACTCGTACAAAAACACTGATTTGTCTTCTTCTACGATTGCGTTAGGGTTCGGGCTCCCATAATTTGCCGATCGCGCACGTGAAACCGTCGAGTACCGGCTTCAAATTCGGATGGATCCAAGGAGTCCTGCTGAGATGTCTCCTGAATATATGGGGCGTGATGCTATTTCTGCGGCTCTCGTGGGTCGTGGCTCAAGCGGGCACAGGTATGTAATTATTTAACGAAACGATCCGTTTACATGCACATCGACTCGATCGAAATCGCCGGCCACGTAAAAATTACTATTTTCATTGTACGCTTTCAGGTCAGGCCATCTTGTTAATCTTCACGACCACGGCCGTGACCACGATAACGTCGCTATCAATGTCAGCGATTAGTACAAATGGGCTGATCAAAGGAGGTAAATAATACTCTAGCCGCGTAAACGAGCGAATCGGCGGCGCGAGCTGTAATGAATTAACGCGATTAACAACGACGTGTGGTGATGCCATAATCAGATTGGCCCATTCAACCGGGATAACAAGTCGGATAGTAGGGTGTATCTGCGAGTTGCTAATAATCTAGCGAATTGTTCGTCTAATTCGGTGGACGGTAATTTGTTCCGACAATTGGAAATTGTACTTTCTACGAAGGTACGGTAATTTCTCCCTAATTCGCGCTCAGATGACGCACGAAAATGGACAATTTGGGAAGAGGAGGTACGATTATTCGAGCCTTGCGTCTTGCTTTTGTAGTTATTGACAATAGGCAATTATAAAAACTATAAAAATAATCGCATCTCTTCTTCTCAAATTTTGTCCATTTTCGTGCGCCATCTGAGCGCGAATTAGGGAGAAATTACTGTACTTATATTTCATTGATATTGGAATATTGTAATTTTTAGGCATTAGAAATGAATAATGTCAAATAAATTACTGTACTTATATTTCATTGATATTGGAATATTGTAATTTTTAGGCATTAGAAATGAATAATGTCAAATAAATTACTGTACTTATATTTCATTGATATTGGAATATTGTAATTTTTAGGCATTAGAAATGAATGTCAAATAGTATAACGCCGGAGGTCAGATCTTCGTCATAGCAACTCTGTGAACGACAATGTTGATTTATTCTGAGAAATATCGAGGGACAGATTTCTTGACCTTCCTTTCTTCTAGTTATTTATTTATCTTTTGTACTGAAACAAATGAAGCGACGCACTCGCAGAAAAAATTATAGAATATCGGGCGCGAGCAAATTCAATGATCAATTGATTAATCGATTGTTTCCCGCAGGCGGGACGTATTACATGATCTCCAGATCACTGGGACCAGAATTCGGAGGTGCTATAGGGCTCATATTCTCCCTAGCGAACGCCGTCGCATGTGCCATGTATGTCGTTGGTTTCTGCGAGAGTATGGTCGATTGCCTGAAATCGAACGGGATCTGCATCGTCGACTGCGACAACACGGATATCAGAATTATAGGTCCGTACGTAAGGTCTCTTATGGTCTCGAGAACACAGAAGTGTTTTTAATCGCCTCCGTTTCGTTTCAACAGGTTGCATCACGATAGTGTTGCTTCTGCTGATCGTGATGATCGGTTTGGAATGGGAGGCAAAAGCGCAGATCGGTCTGCTCGTCATCCTGCTCGTAGCTATCGCTGATTTCCTAATTGGTACTTTCGTTGGTCCGAAGGATGACGAGGAGAAGGCCAAAGGGTTCGTAGGATATAACGGTAACGTCCATTCGAACATGAAAGTACTTTTTGCTTTGCCAATTTGCACTTCAGTCAGATCATTCTCGCTGTCTCTTTGATTATCGTTACAGGAGAACTGTTCAAGGAGAATTTTTATTCGGACTATAGGTATTACGAAGGGGTGGAGCATAATTTTTTTTCAGTTCTGGCTATCTTTTTCCCGGCTGCAACAGGCATCCTGGCAGGTGCGAATATATCCGGTGATTTGAAGGTGATTCAGACCTTTCATCTATAGGGATTATTTTGTTAATACCGCGATTATTAAGACTGTGTATTGTTAATAATTCAAACCACGTGTTGCGCTTGTAAAATGCCCGATACGTGGTCGCCAATAAGTGGTAGAAAATCTGGAGGAACGTTGTTTGCGATAATGTAAAATGAAAGTTGAGTTCAGCTTGTTTCGTGTCGTCTTGTAGAAAGACATTAATAGTGCACGTAGTGTTTAAATAATGGCACAAGATCGTTCCACTTATGCAGTTAACGTTTCGATAGGATCCGCAAACGGCGATACCCAAGGGTACATTGTTGGCAATATTTTTGACAACAATTTCTTACATCCTTATGGCCCTGATGGTAGGAGGCACAGTATTGAGAGATGCGTCTGGTGATGTTAACGATCTATGGAACGTGTTCAATAGTTCCTATACTGCCATAGCAACTTTCAACTCGAGCGAGGAATCGGCGGAGACTACGACTGTTGCTGCGGATACGGATCAAATAGTTTGGAGTATATACGGTACAAAGTTTAATTGTACAGGCAACTGTTCTTATGGTAGCCAGAATAGCTTTCAGGTATTATCATACGTTGCAAAGTAGTATATGTATCTACATATATATATTTGCTTATATCAAAATCATGCATCTTTGTACATCGAATCGAATTGCATAGGTCATTGAATTGGTCTCCGTGTTTGGTCCAATTATTTATGCTGGATGTTTCGCAGCTACGTTATCAAGTGCCTTAGCATCGTTGGTTTCTGCGCCTAAAGTGTTTCAAGCACTTTGCCTTGATAAATTGTATCCTGGAATATCATGGTTCAGTGGCGAGAAGGATAAGGAACCGATCCGCGGTTATTTCCTTACATTCATAATTGCCGTCGGTTTCATCTTAATCGGTGAATATTATAGCGTACGATGTAATTATTTACAATAGTAACTGCCGATTGTCTTTCTAATGGCCGATCATCGTTTTTCCAGGTGAATTAAATGCCATAGCTCCCTTGATCTCAAACTTCTTTTTGGCTGCCTACACTCTAATCAATTTTAGCACTTTTCATGCTTCACTGGCTAAACCAATTGGTTGGCGACCAACATTTAAGGTATCGTTTTCCATTATACTGTCTCATGAACAGAATGATCACTTATTCAAAAGATAGACTGCGGGGACGTTTATGTATATTTTTATTTTAGTATTACAACATGTGGTTGAGTCTTGCCGGTTCCATTCTTTGCGTCTCTGTGATGTTCCTGATCTCATGGTGGACAGCTCTGATTACCCTGTGTGTGGTTTTAGCTTTGTATCTTGTAGTTTCTTACAGAAAACCAGGTACAACTTCATGCATAGAATATCGCGACTTTTAACAGGAATATAAAGGTATCCTTGTTTTGTAGATGTAAATTGGGGCTCGACTACGCAAGCCCAGACCTACAATAACGCGCTAACCGCTGTTCAACAATTGGACAGGGTCGAAGATCACGTTAAAAATTACAGACCTCAGCTTTTGGTACTCACCGGCATGCCCAGCGCGAGATCGTCGCTCGTTGATTTTGCACATCACATTACCAAGAACAATAGCTTATTTATTTGTGGCCACATAATGGAGGTGAATTGCTAAATTCGTTCAATTGTATCTGACATAATATCGTATATACATGTAGAATATAAGAAAATTGTTATATGACATTTCAGACGCCAATTTCATACAAAACACGTAATTCCATTATCTTGAAATGTACTTCTTGGTTCAGAGGAAACAAGATTAAAGCATTTTATTCGTTGGTGGACGGTGCAAACTTCCAAGATGGTACTACCTCACTTTTGCAAGCAGCTGGTTTGGGAAAAATGAGACCTAACGTTTTATTGATGGGTTACAAGCAGAATTGGGCAACGTGTCCACGAGAAAATTTGAATATGTACTTTAACGTAATGCAGTTAGTATTTTTATAAAGTAAATGGAATCATAACAATCGATGCCCAATGTCTCTCAATGAATCATAACAAACAGTATCATTGAGGGACATTACAAATCTTAGTATTAACTGGAATCTTATTTTTTTACAATTACGTCGATGTGTTATCTATCTAGTAAAGCATTGGACATGCACATAGCAGTTGCACTTCTCCGAATAAGCGAAGGCTTAGATTGCGGCACCGCTGCAGGGGATGTTGAGGAACAGAAAAAAAATACGACATCTTCGATACCGGCAAATCAAAGTTTCTCGCAACTTAGCCAAGGTTTATAAGATATTATTGAATTCGATCGATTAACGTTCAAGTAATCATTAACAATTAATATTTCTTTTGACAGCGAGTAGCACGTCAGATATTTCAATACCTGGCAGTCCAACACCGAGACGATCGAAAATTATTAATGAATATCCTAATCCAACAACAGAAGATCAACGCGAAAATCGACCGAATATTATACCTGTGGCGAAAGACATACTTAACGCTATGACAAAATTCCAGCGTAAACAAAAAAAGGGAACCATAGACGTATGGTGGTTATATGATGACGGTGGTTTAACCCTTTTGTTACCATACATTATTAGCACAAGACGAAATTGGTCCAACAGTAAATTGAGGGTATTCGCGCTTGCTAATAAGCATTCTGAATTAGAATATGAGCAAAGAAAGTAAGTTATGATATTCGTAGATTCTGTACACATATAGATAAACAAAAGAAATCATTAATATTATCATTGTACGTAATTTTAGTATGGCAAGTCTTCTATCAAAATTCCGGATAGATTACTCTGATTTGAAAGTTATATCAGATATATCGAAACCAGCACAAGATAGTACGAAAAATTTCTTCAGTTCGTTAATAGTCAATTTTCAGCAAACCGATGATTCGAAAGCAACAGATGATGGTTTGTTATAGAAATAATATAGTATTACATCGATATTGTTTGAGCAAGAGAGTTTCAAGTGATCTATCAATTACTTTCAGATGTTATTAAAGATTCTGAACTACTTGCCATGAAAGAGAAAACAAATAGGCATTTGCGTTTGAGGGAATTGTTACTTGAAAATTCAATGGAAGCTAATTTAGTTGTTATGTAAGTCGAAGAGGTCTAAGAGATTTTTATAATTCGCTTAGCAACAAGTAAGTACAATTAAGTATCTTTTAATTTGTTAAATTTATTTTTAGGACATTACCAATGCCACGCAAGGGTGCTGTATCAGCACCTCTTTACATGGCTTGGCTGGAGACTTTAACGCGTGATATGCCGCCATTTTTACTGGTTCGAGGGAACCATACATCTGTTTTAACATTTTACTCTTAATGACGCCAAAAAAATAATGCGTAAGAAGATTTGTGTATGAAAAAACTTTTTCCAAACGATTGACAATGTATAGAAATAAAGGTGCCTTTATGAATGAAAAGGCATTGTATTTGAATGAGTTAGTATTTAAGAGTGTGCAGTTACCAAGGACTAATTATCTAAATCTGTTTAATCGTAATAAATGCACCAAGACTGTTATTTTTTTAAACACACGTTTGTCAGAACAATTGTTCCTAAATTTTTAAATAGTGTTTTCCATCCATCAGTTATAACAATAAAATTAATTATGTCTCTATAAATACTTAAAATAAACGAAAATACGATGTACGTAGTAATATGATCGTCACGACTGTAGTCTACATATTTGCTTAGAATTATTCAAAACTTAGGTAATGCATCTCAGTATTTAAACTTCCATTATTTGGTGTCTAATGCCGACAATCATTTCATTTCGTAAAGTAAGTTATCCCAAGATATTTTGAATAAATACAAGCAAATATGAATGTATTCATGACAAAATTTCAAAAGAATACTAATAATCTTAGATTTAATAGTACAATTAAAAGTGGTGTTTATTTTTATTATATGATAAAATTCAATTTTAATAACACTCCAGATTCTATTACTAAGTCGTCCGTTTAAACGATGTGCGTATTTCGTGAGAATATTTTCACATAGGTCGTCAACTGTAATAGTTAAGCTAACATTAAAGATTAGTACGGCTGTTCTTCCATTTGTAAGGGTAATGAAATTGGTAAGAACTGGACTATAACGTCTAGCACATATCTTTTATTTTGTTTACAACTTTGTAGTCTTATACACTTTGGAATACTTGCAAAGAAATTACACA